TTTTTAATGATCACAGCAAAATGGATGTCTCAGAATAAGTTAATCAGAATAATGTGATGCCATGTTGAGCAAATTATTCTCGCGATCCTTAAGAGAAAGTGACTGATTTGAGTGTCCCCTTGCACAGGGAAGTCAAAGGTCAGCGTCAGTTATAGAGCCGCTCCCCGGAAACTTAAAATGATCTCAGTATCAGTATCCCAGTTCAAGCACACTTCATCAGAGCAGACACTTGCCTCAGAGTCCCAAGCCTGTAATTAAAGTGCAGCAACTGATGACACCACTTTGCTATCAACCACTACATTTAACATATATTTTCAAAGACAGGCAGGTTTCATATGAAAGCACAGTCTAAGATATGTTCATTATGTATATAAATCTGCAAGCACATACAACGCCTCTGTTCAGTTGCTGGTTTCCATCCTCAGTTGATGAGGACCCATTGGTGCCATGATCTAAAGGCCAAAGAGAAAAAGACCAAAATCAAGTGTGAGGATGCTGTAATTAACATATATGGCAGCCATTAACATTAGGGGTGGACTGTATTCAAAATCATTGTATACTGAGTTTTAGTGGAATTGTATCATGATGATACAGTATGATCCTATTGTGTCTGATATGGTTTTATTTTAGCTTTACATTGGAACCAAATGATTTGCTTAAAGCATCATTTTGATTATTTAAGTGTCATTTTGAATCTATTCTGACATAAATATCGAAGAAAAAAAAACATTCTTATTAATCAGGCATATGCACAGGACTAATCTACATGTTAAATTCATTTCATGGTCATTTTCTCAGTTCGGATGAGTTTGCCTACCTTTACACGCCAAACAGCAGGTATCTGGAACTGAGACTGGTGAGGAACAGGTGATTGGTTGGCATGTTTTCAAAGCACAGAAGATGTTTCCATTCTGAGAAAAGAAAGGGAGGAACGTTTTTGTGTTTTTTAATATTTCGTTCCAGTTGTATGTTCTCCAAAAGTTAAGCCTTAAGTACTCCAAGGTTTCTGCAGGCCTCTCTAAACTTGTTTATGTATTTATCTCTCTGGGACTAAAAGAGACAAAGTCCAAACAACACACTCGTAGTGTCTAAGAGATCTAATGTTCTTAAACATTACATTTATCTATTTACATTTATTATTTGTAGAGACATTACATTTATTTGGCTTTTGTCCACACATAGACTCACTCGCTCATCAGAGGTGGCTGAGATAGGTGCTGTCTTGCGAGGAAGCACTTAAAGGTTCAGTGTCTTGCTCAGGGACACTTGAACCAGCAACCCTACCAATAATGGACGTAATCCATTTTAAAAACTGCAATAAATCATAATCATAATCCCACTGTCTTCTGTGATATAAAGGTAAGTTATGCCATAGCAATAAGCAAAGCTATGAACATGTTGCACTGAAATCAAGGCTTGAACAGACACTGTAGTGAAAATGGTTACTATTGACATGAGAAATATTATAATGTGAATATAATACATTTTAAAAAAGGATAAACAGGAGTTTTACTGTCCTAAATATACACTAGGGATCATCCTAACAGTCAGTCTATTGTTATGTGTTGTTGATGTCTCCTTGGAAACCTAGAAACATCCGTTAATGAACACCAATTAACAACTCGTAAAATTAACTTCTCACATCTCATCATGTGGCTTTTTAATGGACAACTCCAGGAGGATTTCAATCTGCCTTTGGTTTTCTAAGTTAAAACTTTCCTCCAACCACACTGAGCCAACACACGATACCAAAGCAAGACACTTTCACCAGCTACAGTATTTTAAAATAAATGGAAAATTCTCAGTATATTTCCACTGTCACTGTACAGCATTGGCAGCTGCATGTTAGTGGGCAGGCACAATAGTAGTCACAATAACTACTTTTGTAAGACGATATATTATCCAAGAAAGAATTGTGATAAACAATATTATTGTCATTTTATGATCATTTTGTGCCACTGATATAATGATAAACATAATAATGTAACCACACCCTCTCAAAGAGCAATGCACTTTTAATTCTTAAGAATAATCAGACATTGAAATAGGAATGTGAAGAAAATATCAAAATATCCTTGAGAAATAAAACATAAATAAAACCACACAACCAGAACAAAAAATGAAATTAACGCTCAGTCTCTGTTAGCAAAAACTGCGCTTATATAGATTTGGCACAGGGGTGGGCTATAGCGTATGTAGTAATGGGAGGGAAAAGCCTGCTGTTTATTCTGGCATTATGTTGGCTAAAATGTTGGTGACATTCTTAGACGATAAGTCGATATTGTGACTGGCAGTAATTACATACCGTATATATATGATAAGTTAACGTAAGTATTGTTACAGGCCTAATGGACACACAATAACACACACATGCACACATAATGAAGTGATAAATCTAAAATCTTTCAGTGCATGAAATATAAGACAGTTCCACACTCGGGCCACTGCCAAGGGCCAAGTGGCCTTTATATGGCAGCCTAGAGGCTCCGGCAATATTTATAATGTAAAAAAGTATTGGTGATATAAACGCAGCTGTGGTGGAAGTGCTCAAATATGCTGTTTAAGAGGAAAAGAGCAATTTCCAATGAAAGGAGGATTGTCAGGAATTCATAAATATTCAGTAGGAAACATTTTATTGCAAACATAAGTCACCGTTGGCCACATTTGAGGTTTTCTTTGTGTTCTTTTTTATTTTTATAGTCTGGAGAGTTGGAGTTTCACTACATGTAGGATGACCTAAAATCATGGGCACATGCATACTGTCTGCATTTAGAATCTGATATTCTTTTGCCAGATCAACAAAAAACCCTTCTGACTAAAAACAAAAGTAGTAAATAAATGAGATGCAACTTACAGAGCATGTGCACATAACACACTGGTTGCTTTGCTTTGACGGAAAAAGGTCGTGCTTATTGAAGGTCTCCCCTGGCTGATAAATACTTCCATTGTACCTGCAGGATTTCACTGAAGCTCTCAGCCCTGCGGGGATCCTGGGCTCATCTGAAGACGACACATCACACAGGACAGGAGGCTTTTAAAGTCACAACAAGAAGCGAATCTCTGTAAAGCCTCAGAGCTGATAAGTGTTTAGAAGAGGACAGTCTACCTGTGCATCTTGGACAACACTGCTGGGGCTCAGCTACTGGGTTTTCACATGGCAGAGCAGGACACTTGATTGTGTTACATTTCACATGGCCTGTCTGAGAGAGAGAGAGAGAGAGAGAGAGAGAGAGAGAGCGAGAAAGAGAGAGCAAAATCACAGCTTACAAGCAGAGGCTGTCAGAAACTCGAGAGTTCTTCACACAGTCCAGCAGTTTTTAATTTTAGTGTAATATTCCTTTAGATGTTTTCTCTGCAGGGATAACGTTTGTCAGTGTTAAAATGTACCTCTGTGCAGACACAGCGCATGCAGAACATGAATCCAAAGGGCTCCAGATAGGGATGCCAGCTGTCTCCTGGGCTGTATGTCTTGTCTTTAAAAGTACACACCACCCCGGACCCTGAGGTGTCAAAAAATGAGGAGGATGAGTACTGAGAAACGCATATGGCGCAGATGAACCGAACAGGGGGGATTTTACATGTGAACTCATGTATAAAACATTGGGTCCAAAGCCACAATCAGCTCCAAGTAATGCAAACTAGAGGGGGACGTGAAACTGCACTGATCCCACTACAGGCCATAATAAGCATTAACGCAAACAGAAGTCATGATTTAACTTTTGGTGGCAGAATAAACTTCACCCCAAAACACCAACTTATATGTAGAGCAATAGAGGATGTTCATTTTTAAAATATCACCTCAGTTTTTTCTTTTTGGCAAAGTCCGACTAAACTTTCCTTGTCTGAGTCACATTTTCATGCTTTTCCTTCTTTTAAAGCCCACACGTTTGATCAGGACAGAATAAGCATCAGCAGGGTCTGGTCTTACCTTTCCGGGGTTTTAGCTCCGCATCTGCAAACCAAATGATGAAACAGAACAAAAACGTGGACTTCATCTTTTACATGTGCGTGACTGAGTCTTCAACGCGCAATAAATATGTGTTTCTGCGAGGGAGGCAAAAACTGCAGGACAGTGTGAAACAGGCATAAAAGAAAGTCCAGCATTTTCCTCGGTTGATCTCTGGCGCCCCCCTCAGGACAGAAGAGGTAGCGCCGGATCGAGAACAGGGATGGCAGCAGACTGGAGGCATGACCCGAAAAGAGATGAGATATGGAGCAAATAACAGAGGAAGTGTGGGATGTTTTAAGTGTAAGTAACGATTTTACACACACACACACACACACACACACACACACACACACACACACACACACACACACACAAAAAAGCCCGAATACAAGTAAAAGTCCTGCTTTCATAATGCTGCTTAAGTAAAAATACTTAAGTATTAGCAGCTAAAGGGACTTAAAGTATCAAAAATAACTCCTTTCAAGGTGTTTTCTACTTTATTTTTTGACTATTATTAGCAATGCATTAAAGTGCATTTTAATTTTAACTACATATTATACTAGCTTAATAATCAAAGAATATTTTCTGAGCTAGTTACTACGGATGTCAGATAAATGTAAAAAGTACAATATTTACCTCTGATATGTAGTGAAGTAAAAGTAGAAGGTAACTTAAAATGGAAGCACTCAAGTAAAGGACAAGTACCAGTTGTGTAAATGTAGTTTGTTGCATTGCACCAATGCCAAATAATGGCTATACATGCACACTACTGCCCCCCAACATAATATTTGGCTATTGGTCTCCCGATGACAGAAGAGTAGTTTTCAGATGGGTAAAAACACAAGTGTGTGTGGTTAATATACTGTCATAATTCTTCTAATCTTCTATTACATTCAGTGATAGAGAAAGTATCCCTGAATAATGCTGGATTAAGTTATGTTTTATAAAGGTGTCCTTGTTAAGTTTCTTGTGCCTTGTAGTAAACACCAAAACAAGTCTGAACCATCTAAAAAGCACAGAGAAGGCTATGCACAAATGAGGGCAACATACAGACAGTTCTCCATTTATTAACACATGGGGAGATAAAACAGTGCAACCATGTTAAAACAGACATCAAGATGCCAAGAAACATACTTGAAGATATGAAAAACAAAAGAGATGTCACCAATACAATAAGTTGTGTTTACATCTGCTCCCTCCTATGATGCTTATCACATGGCTCGATAATAAAACATTTAGTTTGTAGTAACAGTTTGATTTACAGTCCGTGCAGACGTATAGAAACAAAAACGAAACTTGATCACAGATTCCTAAAATCCACAAAACTGTATTTTCTAAAATGCTATTCCTCTTGAAATGTAGGAGATGGCATGCTTCCAATTTTACAAAGTTCTGATAAAGGGTGAGACTAAGAAAAAGATAATGAACAAATTGAACCAAAATCCGGTCAATAGACGGATTCTTGTTTCCCTTTTAAAAACTGCACTGGATATTTGGAACACTGTCAGCAGGACTCTTCAACCATGCTTTGCCTAAAACCTTGCTTTCAAAATGTCACCCGGCCTTGCCAAAGCTAAAATTTCTCAGTATTTATATGATAAAAATGTCACCTCGAACTGTAAATGCACATCTGCATTAAAAATGTCAATCAATGCTAAAAAAAACAAAAGTCCATTAAAAATTATGTAAGAAGATATCGAGTGTTTGTAAAGTAGCAGAACACGCACTGGACACGTTTTTTTTTTTTAAATCAAAACATGTTTCTCATACTGTATAGTACATGAGCAAATGTTAAACATGTAGAGTGATCCACCTCCTGGATCAGACACACCTGAGTACCTCCACCAAACAAAGATTTCATGATTTCAGCACAGTCTAAGTCAGAGAGTGGCATACATACTAGATTCAACACCTGTCATATAAGTTATACTTTTAAAATGTCATAAGTACAGGATATTGCATTATAGGATGAATTAGACTGTGCACACAGAGACAACCTCACCCACACACACACACACACACACACACACACAGACACACAGACACACAGACACACACAAACACACAGTAGACGGAAAGCATAAATGGTGAAGACTCAAGAACTGCTGCTGTGTGCTCCTGTGTCGTCCTCTTGCTTTTGCCGTTTCTTTGCTCGGATTTCATTCATGGCTTCCTCTATGGAGCGAGTGTCCCTCTTGTTGGCCACAGGCACTGGGAGAGGAGAAAATACCAGCGTAATGAATAAATCAAGAGCAGATATTATGTGAGAAGTGGAGCAATCCATTTTTTACCCCTATCCGACAGATTCAGTGTGACAACGTTTACTCACCACAGCCATAAGCACTGTTGGCCTCTAGTGTGTGTGCTGCATCTTTTGCAGCTGAGGTGCCGATCAGGTGACTGTACTTGTCTCTGTAGTTAGAGTTGGGACAGGCCTCGACCTTCTTTGTCTTACTGGATGCCGTTTCTTCCAATGCAGCCTGTTCCTGTAGTGAAGAGGACAGAAAACGTCAGAGACTGTTCAATATCATCAAGCTGCAATGTGAAATACCAAATAATATTGTTTGAATGTAAGAACTTTATAAATAAAGGAGTTCAGGTATTTAAAACCATAAATATCTCATGATGTTAATTTGTCTATGTTCAGCAACTTACTGATAGTAATGAAACAAATGCACCACAATAAAACCCAGAAATGCAAGTTAGCCTGTTACTTTTTGATTTCATTGTTATACAATAGGGTCACCTAGACACACATACGTATACCTATGTATGAGACAGGTTAGTATGTATTAAGCCCTTTTCAGACATGGAAAACATTGGTGACTTCTATCTGTAAAGGTTTTGGCTTTATTAAGACATGACAGGACATTTACTCATGTGATATTTGGCGACTTGTGTGCAGGAGGGAGCAGAGACAGAGCGAGGGAAAGAGAGTAGTGGTGGGTTAAAATTGTTATAATAGCAAGGAAGCGGAGAGGATGAAGCGTGGCTTCGGCTGCATTCACACAAAATCTGGCAACGCGGCTCCGTCCCGTAGGGTGGTGCAGAGTTGTAGTTGTGTTTATTTGTGCTTTGTGCCGCGCTTCTCAGAAAATACTGTTTTATTTCTCTGATTTACTGGTTTGTTCTCGTTAACACTGGCTCATCTCTACACCTCTCACTTGTTGAGGCGGGGGCCAACTGTGAATCGTGCTTACAAACAGCAACTGACAAATGCTACTTATTCTGCATTTAAAGATTTATTTAATCCGATGAATCACTATATTAAAATGTAGGTTTATTTTGTTTGAGGATTTAAAATACAATTCAGTCAAAAGCTTCATTCAAAAACATCAATAGAAGTTTTGAATGTAAGCAAATGACATTTGGTACAGCCCGAGTTTTCTGCTCTCTCTCAGGCTGCATCACTGAAGGGTTTTAACACTTAGTTGAGGCCTTGATGATGTGAATCCACAGCTTCATCATTTAACATACTGCTGCTGCAAGTCCGACATCCACAAACACTGACTGACAGGACAATAAGTTGGGACTCGTGGTTTAATCCTATTTATTCATCCACACAGTTGGCATGAATGAAAACTACAAATTTAAGGACAGACTGTTCTGTTTATTACTGTGGTTGTTCAAGGGTTTTTAAACCTGTTTTGCCCCAGGCACACTGCAGGGAGAAAAAGGGGTTTTATGGACTGATCTGACATAAGCAATACTGCAGGATTGATCTTCTTTCTATTTGTGCGTAAGAGCTGATTATAAATCAGTGATCTTAGAAGGCAGTGGAAGTCATGTATTTCTGTCTTTCTCTGCATGTTTTAACTTAGTAATGCTGCAGCCTTTACGTCAATATGACTGCATTCAATTCAGACTTCGGCCATGTTCAAAGTGATATGGAAAGGTTACTGGGTCCACCCTTTAAATTGCCATCAGATTAATGTAGAGGGGTGTATGTCTGAAAGGAGCTTAAAAAAAAACAGAGCATCCAGTCTTACTTTTAGTCGGCGCCGCTGCTCTGCCAGCTGCGGATTCCACTCCTCTCCTTTGCGATAGGCTTCCAGCTCCTCGTCTGATGGAGCAAACTCCTGCCACAGCACAAACTGGAAATTAGTCGCACTTCCCCACATTACTTGTAAATTTAACACTGGATTAAAAACAAAGCATTCAGACCTTCTTGAAAAGCATGACGTAACGGCTCTCCTCATCCTCCCCAAAAGAAAAAGAAGTCAGACCAGCCACTTCTGCAACATCATGCCTACGAAACAGGACGAAATGAAATGTAAATAGTTGTGAGCATATCATGTTTATGCTTTTTGTAATAATCTAAAGTAATGGCCACTTACAATATACTCCTTTCAATCTTCCCCATAGGATTGTACTTTCGTTTCTGTTGTGAACTGTCTTGAATGAAATCAGACACTTCTTTCTCCATCTAAACAAGATATAGGGAGACACAGTCTGTGTAAGTGTGCATGTGATACAGAGCAGCAGTGGTAAAGGGAGGCAACCGGAGCTTAGTGGTCATTTAATTAGGCACACTTGCATTCAAATACAACAGTTCTGCCGTTGTTTCTACTTTATGATGCCCATTATGTTCAGGTTTTGTTTACATGGCCATAGAGGTGTAACATATTATGTATTAGCACTGAGGTCATTGTCAGTGGTGGTGCTGTAGTTGTATTGGGTTGCATTAGATTGTACAGTTCTACCTAATAAAGTGGCTCTGAGGGCATATTCATGTGTATTATATGTGACACTTAAGCTCTCACCTTTTTCCTGAACGCTGCTTTCTTTCTTTTTTCATCTTCCTCCATCTTCTTGAGTCTTGCAGCTTGCTCTGAAAAACGAAAAAACAGAAGTTAAAGCTTTCATGGAGTTTGTTTATCTCCGATAGTATTTAAAGTTTCCATTGTAAACACAGATCATGCAGTCTTACAGCCACAGCCGTATAATCCTATTATTTGTTGCATGTGTCCACACACAAACAGTCTCTGAGGTTTTATTAGTTGGCATACTCATTACAGTTAATTAAACGGATTTGGATACTTTTTCTTTTTATTAGCGCCGTCTTGTGGCTTTGTCTTCACAATTTTAAAGTGGATGAAGTTTTACAACGCTGCAGTTATGGGATACTGCAGTTTTTAATTAGATATAAATGGAGCCTAAAGGAACAGTGCCTGCTATTTGCAACTATTAAAGTCTCAAAAGGGATCTTTCACTAACTTATAGATGCAATAACATTTACAAATGAACAAATTCAGAATTATGTGCACATTTTACTCACAATATTCACCTCTATAATTCACTCAAATGCCCATATCCTGAATATACAAGAAGATTAAGCTTTCTTAAAAGTCTAAGCTGTGAATTAATCGGCAGAGAGAAAGCTAAAGGTGATACAGAATGGAAACAATAAGGGCTTATAATACATCACTCTCTACATGCAGACTGTGTGCAGCAGATCAAACAGTGCTGGATGTTCACAGAGAGCACTACCAAACATTTGGCCGGCAAATATCGCCATTTTGACTTTATCGAGTGCTTCGAAACAGTGAACCATTTACAAGACAACTGCTTCACAGTGATCCAGAAAGCTTTGTCTCCTCAACCACTAACGCAGACGGTCCAGACCGACCTCTGGTCTGCGACAGTTTGCGGCACATGCGTGTCTGCGTGTTCCGTGAGGCGGCGCTAAACCCGGGACAACGGCGCTCACATGAAGCCCAGCTGGCCAATAGGAGCACCGGAGGAGCTCCCTTCGTCTGTCCTTTTAAATTTCACATACAGTCCTTTATCTGGTCCCTTTCCGCAGCTTCAAACTAACGCAAATTGAGTCGTTATCTAAACAATACATTGTGTACCTCGAGCCTTTCGTCGGCTTTCCTGGTCGCCGACTGTTGGAGGCTTCTCCATCGAGTTTAAGATTGAACCTAGGAGGTCCGCCATCTTGGAATGAAAGGGCAGACTCGTACAGACTGTTGTTGTTGGCTGCAGCTGTACGGACTGCGCAGGCGCAGATCACCAAAGTTTTTCTTCGCTGTGTGAAGAAACCGGCGTGAAAACTATCTATCGCCATCTACTGTACCAGATAGTTATATTGCTACACTGTGTTATCTATTTTGTTTAATTATGTTATACAATGAAACCATATGGAAACTTCTTTTTTATTTGTAAAAGGAAGTCGCCTGTCTGTCCCTAGTGTTTCTGTGAATTTCTATGTATTACTTAAAGAGCCCCTGACTCACAAACCCTGTAACACTAACACATCCACTGTACAACAAATTATATCTATTTCAAAGATAAAATACACATTGTTTTTTAACATGTATATCATCACCATCACTGTCAAATATAAAAATAGTTTGTATATAGACGTATATACATATAATGTACATATCCACCTACTGATTGTATATAAAGTAACTTATTACATAGGGTTAGGGTCAATCAATATCTATTCCAGCACTCTGCACATTTACATTTGACAGAAACAGCTTGACTTGTAACATATAGGTATGTTATTGGTTGTTATTTATATATGTACATAATAGTTATATTATATATATGTATTTTTTACCTATGTTTGTTCAGCTGTAGGCTATGTCTACTTCTATCTTCCTGTAAATTGTACATACACAGACACATTCATCACATTTTTTACAGTTGATCAGAAAAAAAGGTGCTAAAAAACAGTATAAAAAACAGTAAGTAGGGAAATAATAAATAAAAACACTATGTACAAGAGAAAAAAATAGTAAGAATCCACAACAACAGATAACACAAATAGTAGCAGCAGTTGCACATGGGCAATAGATTGCACAGTTTTACTCTTCTTCAGGAGAAGTGCTTTAAAACCTGACAAGCTGCTAAACTGTCCTGTGCTTTATTTGGATGCGGAGCACAGCTACTGCCAGGCTCCTCGTGCTCTGTTGTTTTCTGTTTTTTCCAGACCAATGGTGCCAAAAATATAGGTTTGGAAAAAAAAATCACATTCTTTAGACTGATTGATCACAGAGGGGATCATAATTTGATCCTTTAAGGTGGTTTATCTGTATGTGTGTGATAATAAAGCAAACAAACATCTTTGCACAAGCACTAGGGGGCATGCTATCCAAGCACATGTCTACGTGTCTATGCCTCGTGTTGTTATTGTTTTGTTAACAATCCTCCCCTGCGTCACTGGAGCAGTGTGTTTTGTGCATTTTGATTGTAGTTTCACAGCATCAGCAATAACACATGAACTACTGCCATATTCAGATGTGGGCAACGCAGTGGTGGAACAGAGGGCCAGCCCTGAAAACACAGCAGGACAGACAGAATTGTACTGCTTACAATGTCTAAAACAAACAGATTAGTTAGTACTTCACCTGTAATTACAACTGTTGAAGTTGTTTGGAAGGGGCCCTTTGTGGTCTGTGTTACTTGTCCAGACATGAAAAAGGGACAGTTTTTGGTATTGTACTTACATAGTAGGGGCGTATGTAAGTACAATACCAAAAACTGTCCCTTTTTCATCAGATTGCTGTGTTGGTGATCAATACAGATCATTTACAGTATCTTTAAATCACAGAGCAAGTTTAATATTAAAGTATTGCTTTGGCACACTAAGCACTTTGTTAAAGTGCCTAAAAACAACCTTTAATTCTTAAGAAACTGCAGATGTTGACTAAGCTGAGTAAGCTGACAGTCCTGACCTTCAGCCCTCAGACTGCCATCATTCAGCGATACTTTGTTATTGTGATTTGGACAGAGCACGACGGACTCCTCCCCCGTGGTTGAAATGCTGTATAAATGCAGCATCAGCCTGTCCACAACAGTGTCTGAAAGCTTATTGGTACCCGAACATGAAGGGACTGAGCTTGGTTCTCCTTGTGCTTCTCCTGATGCTCGCAGTTGGGGAGGGTAAGCAATGGATACACACCATTTTCTTACTGTGTGAGATCAAATCAAGCAAATCATGATATGGCAAATGCTCAAACTACACAGGACTCATACAGGGCCTGTTTGTGTGGCCCTGAGGAGGAGAAAAACTAATTATCAAATCACAACTTGACAGTTTTCTTCACAATTTTGTGAACTTTAAGATGATTCAGAAGATGATATAATCATATACAGGCAATGATCCAGAAATGCAGTACTGGACATGTGGGTATAGAGGACTCTGCAGACGGTTCTGCTATGCTCAGGAGTACATCGTTGGTCATCACGGTTGCCCACGAAGATACAGGTAGGCCTGTGGAGATGATAAAGTAGAACTGTGAATAACTTTATAATTTTGTACTTATATTACAAAGACTGTATGAGTTTCAGCAGAACAAAACATGTATTCTAAACAAGGTAAAGTTGATAATTGTATGATTAACTTAAGCTGTACTGTGCTCATTTTCAGGTGCTGTGCTACACGTTCTTAGCACCTGTCATCTAATGATGCCTGGAAGATGTACAGCATAAGGGCTGACATCTTCAGGGAGCAGGGATCCTGGTAACTGACGCAGCATTCTTCTGGATAACAACTTTACTCTCAATCAACCCCTGTCTAAGATCTGACTATGAGTGCTTTTGAAGTGTACTTTATATTAGCAGCTATTAGGAGTGCAGCTGGAGTCCTGTTGCTCATACATTGTTGCCTGAAGCTTTGTGTGACTGATCCTGTATCTCGTATTTAATAACGTTTCATTATAAATCCTTTGTGAAGAGTTTGTTCTACTCTCTGAAATGCAGTGTTGCCAATAAATGCATGAAAATAAATTTACCCATGTTTGGTTTTTTATGCCGTTTAGGTGAGATAATCACACTATACCAAATATAATGCAAAGTAATTCTTTCACTTTACATTTGAAAAATCTAAAATATAGTTTAAACACGTCCATGTGCACCCCATTGCACACTTGGCTTGACCTTAGAGAAATAACAGCCTGGAAAGCAGTCTGAGTTGAGTCTGGCATGCTTTCACTCAGCTCTGCACTGACAGGGGACAATAACGGTCAAGTGACTGACCCAAATAGCTGTGATGGAATAGAGCTTTTGTGAATGAAGTGTTATGTCTGTGTTTATGTTATTTCACCATTCTGTCTGTCTGGACAACATTGTCTGGAACAGACGGACAACGTCACAATCCACTAGTCACGATTGCAAAGCAAATTCATTGTCATATTGGCAGCCTATCTCCGATTGTAACAAATGTCTGTTGGTGACCTTTTTTTAGGAAGCAACATGACTGTCAGCTGAAAACAAATATACTCACCTCAGTTTGACACAACAATAAGCATTAATCATAACATACTGACATCTAGAAACAAACCTACTATATGATTCAAACACTGAAAGTTGTACCAGAGTTAACTGAGCCAGGATCTGAAGATGGTTGATGACTGGCCCTGTCTAGTATGTGTTAAAGGCATGGATGCTATTTGTAAACATGAGCCACTGTATTGTGCCCTGCATTGTCATTTGGGTTGAATCTTTGTGCTATTCAGACAGCACAGCGTGACCAAACTACAAAGGGGTAAACCCCCACGAACCTGTTTACACGAGTCTGTCTTCACAAAGCTGACAGCGACAGCTTAAAACAGAAAGTTATTACAGGATGGATGTATTTTTGAACTGCGACTGTGTAGACCTGTATTACTGTGGACAAATTAGGGTTTGAAGATGCTGCGGGTACTTTTTTATAAGTTTAAAACAAATCAATCACATGAATGTACTCAGGCTGGAAATTATGACCTTTAACATTGCAGCCCAAGTAATATGAGTCCTGGTTAGGGGTGCTCTCGTGCAGTCACTTATCAAAATAAAATGGAAACTTTAATAAGAAATTATTTATTAGAGAGGAACACATTTAAATGAGTAGGTTTTTCCCTAAAAAAGAATGTACAGACTCAAAATACAAGTACAAAATCCTCACTTATGACCCACTAGAAGCGGTGTTTGTATCTGCATGAGACCCGGCCCTCTTCTTGTATTTTCTTATTTTGCTGTGTTCGGGATGTTTTTGGGGGTCAGCCTTTGAGCAGTGGGTGTGTAGCGCCCAGCCAATAACAGCACACAGGTATATGATGCTGATGGTGGTACATAGACCTGTGTCCTGACAACTGTGTTCAGGGGGTGTGGGCTTCTGGTGACGCTGAGCCGGGGAGTTGGGTATGGTTGCTTACAAACCATAATCAACTCCAACTCCTACTCTTTCTGCCTTTAACAATGCATATTTCAATAGTGACTGTTATGTACCTTGAATATGTTTTCTGGCCTATATCTCAGCATCTGGTTCACTTCTGTGAAGTAAAATAAATGTAAAGTAAATTGTCAAATAGAACAATGGCCAAGTGTTTGTATGAAACGTTCCCTAAATATTTTAGAATCTGCTCAAAATTCATACAAATCACTAATTTTACACACAGTTACTGTGTTCACTATTTGGGTTTATTATAAAGTTTTTAATATAATATGAAATATCCATAAAATATGTCACTTAGTAAGGGCTCGTCAGTTTACTAAATGGTAGAAAAGGGGTCTCTGAAGGCAAATGATTGGGAACTACTGGTATGCAGTATAAATTAGCCATTTACCCATATAAACCTCTAAGTGTATTTTTTTGTTTTACATTTATCGTCTGCTTCTGTGTTGAGTCATTCCTGAGGCTAAAGTTGTTGTTTTGATGTTATTATAAGTCAGCAAAATAAAATGGCCTCCTACTTACTATATGGTATTGTGGACGTTTACAGCCTGATTAAACAAAAAAGCTTTTACAACTTCAAGTTCCTGATCTAGAATTTTTTTTTCTGGTCGTTGTTATGCCCAAGGGTGAATCTTTGCTTATGCTCCATTAATCATTCACTCTGTCTTGACCAGTTGGGAGACATCTGCCACCACTGTAATCCACCAAAGTGATAGTGATGAGCAATACCTGGACTTCATTTGAAACCGGCTTTCATTTAAAGTAGTGCTTGACATTCAGGCTCGAGTTGAAATCAAACCAGACAATCATTTTCCTCATGCTCTTAGGGTCCATTTAGTGCCAAGTTCTAAGTAGAATGTCATAAGCCTTTTACTTTTACAACCATTAAGGGCTAATTGATGGAAAGCTGCAGAGACAGTTGTCCTTCTGGCGAGTTCTCCTGCGGAGGATCTCTGAGTGGATGTTTGGATCTCCTGTCACCCTCAATGTACAGCAAATGTTTCTTTTCCCCCTCTCTTTGATGGTTTTCTACTACAATTTTCTGAGCTTGTTTCTTGATTTGGCTTTTGCTCTGACATTTGCAAATCATGCAATCTGAAGTGAATTTGCAGAAGGTCAATATGGAGTATGACAGCAAAGGGCTCAAATCCATGTACATACGATTATTCTGGTAATAAAGTTTCTCCAACAAACACAAGCAGAAAAATATGAATGAAAATGGTTACTGATGGCCATGCAACAGAAGTAACACCTGTACAGTTTAATACTCTAGCTCTACAATAAACATTATTGGGACAAATCATTGGGATACTGTATCAGCTTGCTTTAAAATGTACAGGTTTTGTCCTTTGTGTCCTCACTCTGTTCCAACCACACTTTGGACTGCAGGTCTGATAATCACGTGGACTTTTATGAGACATAAACTGCATGAAATAACTTAGCAGGCAGAAAACATAAAGCAATACAGCTGTAGGTCACAGGGCTAAACTTTCAACATACCTGAAAACAAGATTTACTTTTACCACTTCCTTCAAAGTAGGTTACTAACCTTATATATACTGTCAATGTTACTATTGTTATTAATAAATGTTATTTACACAAGCCCACCTATAGGCAGACCCCAACCAGTGCTCACTACTTGGTGCTTATCAGAGCAACTTCTGAATACACAACGTCTGAAAGGTAGCAAGATGTATAATAATATTATGGCATTCTAAGAAAACCAAATCTGTATAACTGGGTTACTATGAATCCAAAAATAAATATAATACCTTAATGTCTACCAACCAGCAAAAGATTTTTATTTAACATAACAGTTCAATAACCTTGTATGGTTCTGTGTAAGCAAATACTGAACCACCAGATCTGGAACCACTTTTAATCAATTAAAATGTTAAACACAAAGAAACATTCAGATATATCTTGTTGTTCAGAGGCATGAAAATTAAAAGCTTCCCTGACAGATGGGGGCATTTTAATCCAACAGTTTTTCCAGAAAACTTATTTTAGGGAAATGTATGGTACATGTAAAACATCAACTTTAACTGCAAAATGTATTTACTAGTTTAATTCCCCCCCGAGTCAGATCAGTGCAAATTCAACACGAAGAGGTGAATTTTAGTGCCATTGAAAATTATACACCCCTAGAGCTTGAGCATTTGTTGTGCTACATTTGTTTAAGACATCCAATTTTTACTATTTCCCTACACACTATGTACTAGAAACACTTCTAATAAATAAGTGGATATGCAAAGGTAAGTATGTCTGTTGTTTTGTCAGTGATTTATTGTGTCTCTGAAATATTTTATCAGCATTTTATTGCTAATGCTGCTCAAATCTTATAACTGGACTGTAACTGCAGGTTTTAAACATTAGTTAGCATTAAAAAAAATCACTCTGCTGTTACAATAGTATAGTCTGGACTTTTAGTGTATAAGAAGAGTTAAGATGTAGAAAATGTGAGCTTAGTGTTGAATGTGAAGTTAACTTTCTGTGGCATTGACAGGTCTGTTGCACAAAGCAGGATTACTCAATTATCTGCATAATATTGTTAAATAAAACCCAGAACAGATTCTGTAATTCATCTAACCTGTTACTTGGAAAAGGGTCCCCCAGTGTTCCATGTTGTAAATAGAAAACATGAAAATACATACCAAAAAATACAAAATACAATAGGGTGTGCTTTCGCTACAGCTTATGTTGTCATATTTACTTTTGTTTTCTTTGCAACATGAAAATGTGGACCCTAAAGCTTTCACATTCAAAACTATACTCTATACTTTCTTAACTTAAATCCATCCCACACTTTAAATTTCATTCCATTCCATAAAATTTTGCCTGAATACAATAAAGATCATAAATTTGAAATAGTACTAGTAATATTTCTCACGGTCATTAAACCTTGTACAAACAAGGGGTGTTATCTCTTACATCCTATTTTTCGTGTAATTTAATTTCCTAAAAAGAAACATCACTTCGACAGCGCACACTTATGTGCAGAACCTCAAGGGGAGTACAAAAAGTTTCTACAGCACTGTATATGACAACATGTAATCTCACATCTCCAGCAAAGACATGCTTTAGCTTGGATATCTGGACTCACAATTCAGGCCCAGTGGGGTAAAACGGCTGCCGAGACAGTAAGGTGCAATCTTTAACATTGGTGGCAAAGCACAGTTTAGCTTTAAACAATTTGTTTTCTCAAATAAAAATATTTGACCTGCGAGAAGGAAACCTTTGTTAATAATGCATAAAGCAAAATGCCCGTGTAATTACAGCAGTGGGCTGATCTAAGCCTGAGAATCCGATTGTCTTAGCTTAGGAGAAAGGTGTGATTTGGGGCCCTATGTCTGATGGGCCAACTGAGGTTGATGCCAATTCACTTTCAATTCAAAATGTAAACTGAAGCTTTATTTTATAATTAGTTAATCAGTGTTCCACAACTTGTATTAAAAAGGCTCAATGGAAAAAAGTATTTTGAAGAACTTTAAAATGTCTACAACATGTCAAATGAACTGAAATGAGAGTGCATTGACAACAACACTCCTTTCAAACAGTTTATAAAAAAATAAAGAGCCAATCTAACAATCCATGTGCTTGCCAGGACAGAACAAAGCAAACACATCAGAACTTTGCAATGTACATATTCATTTGTTGTTACAGAGCTGGATTAGCAATATAGGACAAAAACTGCCCCAGTGTCCTGGCCTGTGACTCACTCACAACTTGGCAGCAAACATGTGAAAAGACAAAAAAATGACAAAAGCAGTTGTGAACTCAATGTCGACAACAGTAAAAGAAAATTTGCAAACTTATTTACATTGATCACTTACTAAAATATAAACATATATCATCAATCTTCTCCCTCTTTTCCTATCCTAGTATGCCAAATGCTGTAATTGAACCAGTCACAAAAAAAGGGAAGATTTTCTTTCCCCGCCACTTCGAATGAAAGATTGTAGAAGAGCGGCGCTCAGTGCACACCAATAAAAATACAATCACAAAGACCGACTACCTGTAACTCATAATTGTCCTCATTAGGCCGAAGACTAAGGTGATGATGGCATATTATGTCAGATTCAAAGAGCAAAAGACCCATAGAATATTTTGGCAGCGTTTCAATACAAACAGCATATTAGTATTTCAATCTGGTAAAAAGTCCTATGGATATATTTCAGTCATTTTTAGTAACAATTTGGTTTCTACAAATGTAAATTTTTGTTTAGGCTTACAGAAGTTGAGGAGCTAAAAAAGCATCACAATTCATTCTGATGCTGTTTGAATTAATATCTGTTCAGTAGTGATGATCACACCACACAAAACTATGCGTGTCAGATTTATACAGCAATGAAAACGCTGTAGCAACTCTGTAATTACAGGCCTCTGCCTTTGATTTGACACCCAATTACACTCTCAGTCAGCACCTCATGAAGGACATTGTAAACAACATATAAGGTAGGGCTATGGCTTAACTGTCATTAGAAAAAAAAGAATAGATCACTGCATGCTACAGATCTACCTTGCAAAATAGTCCTTGTGGTCTGTGTGCTGAATTATTTTGAGCTGAGCCAACACCAGGGTGTCATCACAGCTCAAATGTGCCCCCTACCAATAGGATGGAGCATCGAAAATGCTTCAAGAACCCATGAAGTGATTTGTTGCTTCCTAAACACTTCAAACTCTCAAATAAATTACAAAGGCCTGAAGATTTGTAGAAAGTTTACATTCATAATAGCCAAAATGCTTTTCTTGAAAATGTAGACACCTGATTTTTCACATTGTAAGAGTACTCCAGTGGTAGAAAACCTGCTAAACTTGAATACTGTCTCTGTGTTATAATGACGGAGTATTACTAAAAACGAGACAATACCGTAAAGACATATTTGCTGTTTGATGAGCGTTCATTATTTCACTGGATGTTTGTTGTTTTGGCTGTTTTGAGTTCTGCTTGTGCATCATCGTCTTTATTGCTGAGACGAGACACTTTTCACTTCATAGGATCTTAGGTGTTTGTGCAATTTAGGAGCTTTCTAAATTGTCCATTTCCAAAATATGGATTTGTACATTTTCACAGCTCTGTAACACACTACAGTTAATTCAGCTCTTAGGCCTATTTTGCAAAACAATGACAAAACAAACTATATATTAGGGTTGGGAGATGGGACAAATTATGCAATAGTGACAGACTGAATCTGAGCCTGATGGAATTTGTTTTAGCTGCTTTAAATTCATCAAAATATGTGCATTTATAGACCAGGATTCAAGACTTCAAAAGTGATACAAATATTGCACCACTACAAGAGTAGCCAGGGATAAAACACACTGCCTGCACTCAAGTGTGGCTTTTCAGGAGACATCATGTCAGAATGATCTAATAATGGCTTTGTAATCCAGTGGTATACTGCACCTTTGCAGATGCAACACACACAGTTGGTCACATGGAGCTAATGTGGTAAATCCACCATCAATCGCCAGGGAAAGCAATGATTGTAGCCAATTAGGAAATGTCTGCCCTATCGCCCAACCCTAACATGTATAATGTATGTATGGTGATGTGGTGGCACAGAACAAAGTTATGAAAGTAGAGATATATGGCCCAAGATATTCAAACACATGTTATGGCCGTGCATCAAACTGAGGCATCATTAGCACTAGGATAGTCAACAGAAATGATCAGATGAGCCCCTCTTCCACAGCCTGTGCGATGTTTAGAGTCCTATCTGAGTTCACTCCATATTTTAAGAATTTGTAGTCCCAGAGACTTTTGCTAGGTGCCTAGTCTCGACAGATTTCACCTTTCTGAAATTAATTCCACTTTTGGTCCTGTTCTCCTTTCCGAATTTCATCTTCAGCATCTGAGTAGCTGGAGTAACTGTGAAGGATTCAGAGGATTCCTTGCAGTCCAGGGCAGCTGGCTGGCTTGTACGTATGGTGGTGGTTTTAGGCTACTCACATTCAAAGATCTTCAAGGCAGGAGCGGTCATTTGTGAAATAAGTACACTGCCCTTTGAAAACCTGTTGTGATGAAAAGAAAAGTTGAACATGACATCAAGCTACAGTGGTGAATAACATAATAATGTGTGAATTTGTTGCGACAAATAACTGAATTACCTCTTATTGAACACTTGGGGGTCCCAAGGTACTCAAAACTGGTGAAGCCCACCTCTGTTGTAAGGTACGACGGAAACTGCTCAGGTTTGAGGCGGATGCTGTGAAAATTCTTGCTAATATTATCCTGTCAAGAGAAAACAAACATTTTAAATAAGTAAAACAAGCTTTATAATCAGAATGTGCACCTTGTAAATCCCAGGCATTTTTTTCCTTAGTTAAAAAAGTCATCTCAATTTCTTACTGTTAGCTTCTTCCTCCTCACATAGGACTCCCAGGGCTGTGGCTCCAGGATGAACATGCCTCCAGGACGGAGATGTCTGTAGACTCTCTTGAAGAGCCGCTTGAGGCCACTGTCTCCCCAGTTCAGGTGAACCCATTTGGTAACACTCAGGCACATGACCACGTCGTACTCTGGCCGCTGAGTCAGAAGAAGATTATCGTTGTCCAGCACATAATTGGCCTTTAGGAGAGAAGCAGAGAGTTGCAGTGAGAAAACAGGACAGAACACTATTTTGGTATATGCCAGGTAGAAACTTTTTCTGAAACATACACACATTAGGGGCATGGCCACCGCTGGGAATCTGATATCTGAAAATCTAATTTGAGTGATGTTCATGAAAATGTCTTGAATTTTATTTTGGATCTTTTGGACGCTAGAGTGCACTGATGTGCAGATCAACCCACACATCTACAAATCATCACTTGCATTTCAGGCAAATTTCAGGTCAGAATGGGAAACTATCGTTGATGAACAGCAAAGGCAAATTATATTTTTAATAAAACACTGAAAACCTAGAGGTAAGATTTTTAAAAACATCCTAGAATTATATATTAAAACAAATAGTAAACAACATTTTATATTATACTGACTGTTTGGCTCTTACAAAGATTAAAGTGAACTTCCAGTACAGGCTGGTGGCAGGGCTGTGCAACATACACAAACACAGGAGCAGCTGAGCATTAAAAACCCACCAAATTTTACCGCTGCTCTGTGAAACCATTTGACTTATACATATTGCAAGATTAGTATGAATGCCTGTGAGCAGATCAGTCTGCAAAGAGCTTATATGATAAATAATCGATCATTTCAAGGTTATTTATCAAGTAAAAATGCCAAACTTGGCTCCTACTTCTCATATCTGGACAAACAGAGCTTTTCTGTTTCACACTGTTGTAAATAAAATCACTGTTGATCAAACAAAATGAGCAAACTTATATCCTCTACATATAAGTCGTCTCTCTGACATTTTATACAAAGAAAATCCTTAATCCAAAACAATTTAAATAATGATTGATCAATACTGAAAATGATGACTACTTGCAGCCCTAACATAGAGCAGATGAGTGCAACAGCAGCAAAGGTTCACATCCTATGGTCGCCATTACTGACTGTAAAGAATAAGGCAGGAAATCACAGTACTGCGGGTTACAGTACACAGATATTCTTGATTATACTATAACTGCCAGATATGACAAACGAGCCAAGCATAGACTCATATACATTACTGCTGCTGAATGACAAAAAGCAGAACAGAGGACAGAACTACAGAGTTGAGGAGAAACAGAAGGAGAGTCTTCGATTTGGATCAAACAAAAGAAAACTGAGAAAGTTAAGGTAACTTGCTTACCAAAACCAACCATTTTTCACTGTAGATACTTTTAAATGTCATATCAAGAAAAGCACAGGTGTTACTAGAAATAGCTTGGTCTATTACACATCCAAGAAAGCCTATAAGGGGTCCTTCTCGTAATCACTGAAACTACTTTGGGTAATTATATCATTTCCGGACTGGTGAGAATGTAGCAATAAAAAAAAAAATCCCCTGCAATATTTAATCAAATATGCTTCCCCACAACTTTCCACACATTGATACCTGGGTAGGTTTGTCATACGAATAATAGGCTGCCTGACATTTCTACCCCAAAATCCATCTTGTGTTGTGCAGGCTGAGGGGGCTCAGGCACTCGTCTTGAGGCTTTTCACTCATTTACAGGATAAGCTCTGTGCTACACTGCCATTATCACTAATGCTCATAGCAGGGAAGAGGCGGTTATTGATTTCATTCAGAAACACTACAGTTTCTGCATCTAACCAATTCATGTAGCTGCCTACACAAAGCCTGTAAGGCCCAAGGCCAGGGATGTGAGGATACTTCGATAGAAACAACAATAATAAAACCTTTAGCGAGGAATGTTTATGGTGTATTTATGAGAGAAAAGCTGCCGTCATATGTGTTCTCAAGTTCTCAACTAAGAGTGGCATAAAGTGGCCATAGGCCGATGCCATCATCATCAATCTGGTGAAGAGGACAGATTGCTTCCCGTTTTCCACTTCCATCTTGCAGTTCCTAACATGACTGGCAGCTTAAGAGAATAGTGAACTGATTGGTAAAACACACAGTGAGGTGCGCAAACGTACGGATGGACAAACTAGTGGAAAATCCCTCCAGTCTCACAGTTTGTGACAATAAACTCAAAATAATTGAAGTGACTCAGAAAATGAAACTGGTCTGGATGCTTCCTTATTAGAGGCTCGAAACCTTAAAGATTCTGGCCAGCATGATTGCTTTATATATCTTAATTAACTTTGAAGAGGGGAGAAACCTAAATGCTTTTGACTAGAAGCAGAGTAGCTTTTGTTAAACAAAAAAAATGCATTGAATTAATTTCTCACGGTTTCCAAATATATCTTAAAATTTCCTGAGTTGTCAAAACTTCTCAACAATGCATCCAATCACGCAAACGTGATTATAATTTGGAGACAAGACAATTATCATTATCCCATCCAGGGAGAACAAGTGGGCACATAATTTATATCAAGTCCTCTTGTGAAGTCAGTCTGACCTCAGAGTGTTTCATGTAACAAGCCTCTGGTGCTCTGTAGTGAGTTTTTAAGGGGCATTTTAATACGTTTTTCAATGTATAAGGGCTAGTTGTTTTTGTTTTTACACCATGCTAATGATGCAAACATAATGCAGGAAGTGTCTAATTGTCTGATCTTGTTTTGACCCTCATACACGCTGGGACAGTTCATCTTACCTTGATGAAGGACACGTTTGCGGGGAACTCCCCGGGCCGAGTGGTGGATGTTTCTGTTAGTGGAGGAGCAGCGATGGGCCCCCTGGAGATCCGTAGGGACACAGGAAAAGAGCAGCTCACAGAGTGATCAGCAGGGGGTGAATCACAATCTTCCTGCTCCATTTCCTCTGTTTTGCTGTCCTGCCTCTGGGCCGCTGCCTCATCTGTGTGACAGGAGTCATTGTCATTTACAGCCTCTACAGGGCCACTTTCTCCTTTCACTGGTCTCCCGTTTTCATCCCTGCTCTCGGCTTCATTGTGCTTCTTGTCTGTGCCTGTGTGACTCCCATTTCCATTCCTCTCTGCACGCCTGGCCTCTTGAGTCTGCAGTTCAGACAGATAATGTCTGATGTTCTTCCGGGCTGCATGAACCAGAGCGCTGTCAATATCCAGGCCCAATATGCGGGCAGGTCTTAGCACTTTGGCAATATAGAGTGTTAGGTGGCCTGAGTTGCAACCCAAATCCAGAACTTCTTTACCTTCAAACCATTCTGGACGAAGCACACGTACCCGTGGGTCTTCACTGGCTCCTGGGTTGCGGTAGCCATAATACTTGTTGTAGTTCCCGTACTGGAACTTCTTCTTCTGTTGCTCCTTTGCCTGGTGGTGGGGCTGCTGGTGTTGGCGACCTCCTGGCCCTGGTTTGGGTCCAATCCTTGGTGTGTGAAAGGACTGAGAATATCTCTGTCCCCCTGTACCATAACTCCTGTCTCCAGATCCCGACTTTCCAATCGGCGTAGAATGGGTCACAGGGAGCTCCATCTTACCAGAGTTGCGCCTACGCTTGCGTCTGCTTGTGTGCTGGTTTGGCCCCCCCGATATGGAGAAAGTGGAATCCTCCATAGATACAGATGTCGTCTCTTCCTTGCAGCTGGCTGAGTTGTCAGTGGAGTGCTCATGGGAATCCCCTGTGACACTGGAGAAAATGTTGGACTCTTTGGAGACGTCTAGTGCAGAAGATGAAGCTAACATACCTGGAAGCGGTGTGGAGGTGCCAGTTTTAACCTCACTTTTTCCTGATTCTGAGAGGTTGATCTGTGTGGTTGACATCCCACTACCAACCCCTCCTCCTCCTCCTCCTCCTCCTCCTCCTCCTCCTCCTCCTCCTCCACCTCCATGGTGTCTGTTGCGGTGTCTCTTCCTGCCACCAATTTTGAAGGGGGACACCAAAAAGCTGCTGTCTGCTATCCCGCTGTTCAGGTTCAGTGGATCTGTGATGTCTCTGGGGATGAGGATCTCTACGGGGTCTCGACTCTTTGCTGGCAGCGGGGAGGATTTGGGAGTCTCTGCATTCAGTGCCTTGTTGACCTCCTCATCCAGCAGGCTGTTGAGATTCAGTGGGTCAAAAATGTTCCCCCCCAGGAGGAAGTTGGTAGGCAGGACGGAGTCACTCTCAGAGTTGGCCCTTCGTCTCCTCTTGCCGGATGTCGGATGCTTGAAACTAGTGGTCGCTGTGTTGCGCCGCTTTGTTAGTTTCGTTTGTTGCTGTTGTTTGGAATGATGAAAGCTGTTCCTGCGATTGATGTTATTCTCGTTCCCGCCGGCTCTCTGCCCGGCGTCGTCGGAGTGAGAAAGCGTGTCGGCCGTGCTGGTGTGTTTTGGTGAGGCTGCAGTGCCCAGGACAGGACACGCAGCTGCAAAATCAGGGGTGGCTGCTGTACCCTCCACCACCACAGATATAGTGTTGTAACCTCCAGTGCATTCTGAGAGCTGCAGGGACGACGTCGAGCTGGCCTGTGGACTGCCAGTTTTCACGGTATCCTCATCAACAGACATCTCTTCTGGTTTCCAGAGCTGATGCGGACATGGAAATTCCTCTGGATCTGAAAGATAAAAATAACATCGGTTCAATTAAAAAACGTTAAAATACTCCTTTAAAGTATGTGTTATAAATCCTTTAAGGTAAGGTGAATGATGTTACACAAAAAGAGGTGCCACCCTATCACTGCAACCACACAAAAGTCACTCAAACCAACACAACTACTTGGTTATGCTGAAATCCGGAGACCTGCACCTCCAAGGTGTTCAAAGTTCATGTCGTGCTCAGTCACCTTGTATTCCCATATGATGAGCCATTTAACTTTACACGGTTATTTCCTAACATAGAGTACTACAACACTTAACAAAAGTGTCCGTTTTAGATGCACGGTCTCTGGGACTAAACCATTATCAGATTGGGGATCTGACATCTGAAGCACGTCTACTCAGGGGTTGCTGACCTGAAAAGTTTAGTAGTCCCGGTGTTGTGAGTTAGCACGCTAGCTCCTAGCCTCTCTATCGCGGGCCAGAAGACTGAAACGTCGACTAAACGTAGAGCTCCAGTCCGGCCAAAAAGCGTTATTAGACAAACAAGTACCCAACCTCGATATGCTGCTGCCTGAATCCCCCCCCTCTCTATCTCTATCTCTCTCCTTTCTCCCTTTAAAAACGTGAGTCACATTAATAAAAGTGGTACTATCTACCAGATGGCCACCTATTCGCGTACAGTCGACAGTGTAGACACCCTCAAAGTAACAGTCTCACCTCAGCTCTCCCCGCCTCCGGCCGGACTGTCACTGCCGCGCACTCTCTCCCCTACTCGAGCTAACGTTAGCCTAGTAGCTAGCACACAAGTGTCCCTAACTACATCGATACAACGGTGGCAGGCAACGCGAGCACACACGGCGCGGATATCCCGTGCTAAGTCTGTCGGCAGTAAAGGGCTCCTGTGCCCTCCAAACTGTCTTGTCGACTTCTTCAGTGAACTCCTAGTCGCCCAGTGTGAGGCAGGTTGGTGAATAAATTATTCCATTCGCTGATAGAGTCGGCATGGCGGCGCATCCGGGCTCCGAGCTGCAGCCCAAGATGACTGGGGCGGAGATCTCTGACTGGGAGGAGGACTCCGTCTCTATCTAGGATATTACAATGAGGCTCGTTGGGCCGCATGGTGTGGGCTGAGACTGCAGATTTGTGGTCGATTAATAAGTCATTGTTGTCAAAAATATCTATGAATTAATTGTTTAGTCGGATTGTTTGTTCAGAATATAATGATAAATGTAAAAATGAATAAAGAAATAAAGTCAAAAACTTAGTTTAAACCGAGAAAAGCTGCACATTTTCACATTTCGAAATGCTGCATTTCTTTTGGCAATTGGCATTTTTCCTTCATGAATAACTTTTATTGTCAATCAATCATCAGTCAATGATTGCTTTAGCCCTAACATCACCATTCTGGTGTCATATTTGTATCCATTTATATAGTAAGGTTAGGCCTGTTGTTTTAATATATATTTAAATATATATATAATAACTCAAAATGTAGTTATTACTGTTGTGTGAGTTAAAATATACAGTTTATGTTTTTATTACAGGTCAACCCAACAACACACAAGCAGGAACATTTTCTTTTAAATATTCTAGGTTACCACATTGCAAGTCCTCCCCAAACGTTATATTAATCTTCCATATTCATTTGAAAAGATTTCATCATTTCTGGTGCTAAAATGCAATGTGCATATATAAGGACTAGAATTTTATGTTTCAGTGTTTTTTTTTTTTTTGAGCAGCCATAATGAAACTGAATGATCTTGCAGTTAAATTAAGGTGGTTAAATCATCATTATTAATTTCTTTTACACTGTTGTGCTCTCTCTGCTCAGGTGGAGGAGTGACCTGTGTAATTTGGAGAGTATACAAGGTGAACTTTAATCTCATGGTAAGGTTGCACACAAAATCATTGCCAAATTCTGGGTGTTAATATTTGTCCGTTTTAAACTGAAAGACTTCTTGGTTGTTTTGTTTACCACAGCGTCGCAGCCGTGGCTACAACCCACAAACCACTTGTTGGTGATTTGGTTTTAATGACACCTTCACAGTCAGCTGCAAGGTCACAATCTACAAGGTAGGCTTGTTCACCCTATCATTGCTCCCCTGACCAGAGTCTAGAGTAAGCCTAATATTAGAGCTCTGGACGTGAACTAAGAGGACATCTTGCTGAGGTAGCAGGGCGCCTTCTTGTCACTTCCATCTGCACATAATTGCCGTCGGTTCACCACAATATTATAGCCATCAGCCTTTATTAAACCCTGTGATAAAGGCCGATGTTTGGCCCTCCGGTTGAAGATATATAGTGGTCCTGGTTTGGGGCAGCAGATTTGTGAGTGCTGCTGAAGCCAAACAAATTCTCTAAATGACTCTTAGAGATTTTATTTGTGATCTGAATTTAAACCTCCTGGAGGTGAGGGATGAAAGTTTTCCACCATAATGGTATAGATAATATTCAAGTAGCACTTTGCGGAACATTTTGAAGTATCGGAATTAAGGTTCAAAAGGAGAAAGGCCTGAAATAGTCACTCAAAATAGTCAAGTTTTATATGTGCAATTTAGTTACATTTAGCAGTTATGTCAGTCTCTTTCTTTGGAAACACACACACACAAAACAGGGTGCAAGGCTGTTTGACCTTCAAAACAACTTAATTAAAATGATCACACAACTCATCTCCAGCACACTGTGCTTTATACCCTTTGGGGCTATTTTTTTGGCTATTAAAGTATGACATCAGGGTGGTTCACCATGATGAATACAAAATAGGTGAAAATATTTGGGGAGTAAAAAAATACTATGGTGGAGTTTAAATGGATACAGTTAAATATAGAATAGAGTTATTATTATTTGTAGAAAATATGTCTTTTTGAGTACACTGAAGGTTTAAAATTCACAACATTTCACAAATTTACAAAAGCTCACATTTGATAAGTTGGAAGTCACCCTTCCAGACCAGCTCATTAATATGAAACGCATGGCTAAACCCAAATCTTCCATGAAAGTGATATTCACAGCACTTGCTCCACTGTCTCCTGCGGTTATTTCTTAAAGTGGAAGGGAAGAGGGCACGGACAGATAGTCTTTGCTATTAAGTAAATTATTTCTTCTCATCCGTGTGGGACAGCATATTTATCGATATAGAGATATTATGCTGGAGGTGATCAAAAGCAGGAGTTACTGGTGTTGTGACGCTTGTCCTCCAAGTAGCCACTAGGGGGAGACAGAATATGAGTTTAACACTGCTGTACGCCTACTGAAATGCACCTTAGCAGTATCTTCCTCTTTCTCTCCAGTCTCTCCTCTTTAATCACACTGTGTGGTGGGAATCATAATGATTTCATTATTGTTTTGCTGCATTTGAAACTTAAAATGTCGTAGTTCAGCTTCCCTAATAAGTTGTTTTTGTTCTGGAATAAAAGAGATAAAGGGAGACATTTTAAGAAAAAAATTCTCGGTTGGTATGGTATGATTAATGAGTGAAAACAACAGAGCAGCCTCATTCCACCCGGAGAGAGGCTCCAGCATATGCAGCTGTGGCAACAGGAGTGTTTATGTTTTTAGGTAAAAGATGCCTCCAGTGGAAAGAAAGGAAAACACTACCAGCCCTCAAGGAATCTGGCAAACTTTTTGTTTTGAAAAGCTAAATGAATCTGTAAGAACATTTTATTTTTACTGATACTGAAACCGACTTTCTCTAAATCATCAGGGGTTTCATAATGATGAGAAATAGCTTTACCAGACCCAGAAACATTCAGGAAAATCCAAAGTGATTTAATAGTTGGTACCGGATAGTCTTGCTTTTTAACAGCTCATACTGTATATTACCAAATAATAGCAGCTTTAACTCTAGCCATGGCCAGCTGCAGATCTCTCTTAACAACATGAAAACCCAGGATGTACATCCACTTAAATCAGAGATTTATGCAGATTAAAAATGTACTGTAATGTACTGATTTAACCTCCTGCTGGCGTTTAAACTATAACTCAATTAATAGCTGGATTAAAAAACCCATCATACGACCTCTTATTCACTCAAAAATTACAGCAATCTTTGTCACATGTCAAAACACATAAAAATATACTTTTTATATAACTAAAATATTTTCTTTTCATTTATTATGTTGTTAAAATATTATCTTGAAGCAGTTACTCTATAGCTAACATGGCACAAGCCAATTAAAATGTCCTAAAACTCTTAAATATGGATAAGAAAAACCAGCAGTTTTTATGCCGCTATAGATAGGACTTCGATAAGGATCCTCACACTTCATATTGTCTGCTGTTGAGTTGACAGCCTGCTCCTAATTGGGTTCCAGTGCCACAGACTCTGTTGGGTAAATGAGTCACCCCCTCTCTAATCTCTATTGAGGAGGAAAATAGGAGAGAGGGTACCTGTTCCCCCCGCCTCTGTCCCTCTCTTTTCTCATGTTAATCGGGGTGCGGTCCTCAATCCCGGGCACCATCTGCCCTTCCTCAGGGTTTGGGCCCCAAGCACTCCAGACGTGTCCCATTGTTTGTGTGTGTCCAAGCAGAAAGTGGTGTGTAGACATGGTTCTTGTGGTCCAAAAGGCTCCTCCATCAACAGCACGAGCCTGCTGTTCATTAGCCTACATGTGACGGAGGGAGGGGGCCGCTCGCGTGCCCTGTGTGCTGTGACATCAGGGACATCCACTGTTTGTTCTGCTGTGAGTGCTGTTCAGATGTTGTCATTGCAAGTAACCGTTGGCTGAGCGATGACTCGACAGGTCAACGTGCTCTTAAGTACGTTTTATCAAAGATATTGTTACAGATGCTCTTAACTGATCTGTTGTGCTCTGATCGTAATGCATAATTCATTCAAGGTTTGTCTAAGTCTGATGATAATGTGTGGTGTACTGGTGGGCTAAACAAATGAATAGACTTTAGACAACACCATTATCTGCACAAAATGAAAAATACCATCACTTTTTAGACTGAACTTGAATTAAATAGCACATCACAAACATAATGGTTTAATGTTACAGATGCTATATCCTTCACACACTGAACCGAAGGGAGTGCATACTGTGCATTTTTTGAGCTAATTAGTATAGCTTTGTTGACATGTGTCCTTCCCACTGAGCTTAATCAAAATTGGGTGTCTTGAGATGTGACAGATGTATTAATGAACTGAAGGATGGAAATAAAACTATTGCCCTCTTTCAGTTTCATTACTATGGGGGTTGCAATGAAATGACAGATCAAAATGTCATTTGCAATCTTGGGAAGAAATAATTGCAAATAACCTTTGATATAACTAATTTTATTACATTATTCTGTAGAAATTGAAAGAAAAGTTGTTGATTAAATGTTGCAAATATTCAAAAGCTAAAATAGGTTACAAATGTGCTCCCTGGGACCTGCGCAGAGATGTTGGCTGAATAAAACAGTGTGGTTTTTAATTTTGATAACTAAAAAAAAAGGTATTCAGTCCCCAGTGGGACATTTTGGTTAAAAATGCATGAAACATTGTCTCAAAGACATGGCTACTCAAGAGCAAGCCATAGAGACTAACTGCAAAGCAAATATGAAAATATCAGTCTGCTCTAACTGTCATATTGTACAGCCAAGGTGTGTGCACTGTTTCTGACACACCTATGAATCCTCATGTGAACTGACAAGGTAACCTCCCTCCAACCGACACAACACTGACAAGCAGATTACGACTTTCCATTGGGCCTGCCCTCCTCATTTTCAAAGCTACACGCTGCTGGCTGCATTCAGATTAGTTATTGAACTGTCCAAGCAAAGGGAAACAAGGCTGCCTCAGAGGCACAGCACACAATAAGCCAGCTGTCAGTGGGAGGGGCTTGTTCAGACCAGCGTTGTCATGGATAGGACTTTTTGTGTTGTGTTGCCCTCTGAGAGCTGATAGGTGCTCCTGTGTGAGGCCGCCACGCACTGATTAATATTGACACAAGGCTTGATTGAGGACAGGCAAGTGAACAGTGTTAATGAATTATCACTTATTACGTATTCAGCACAGAAATATCAGCAAAGGTGAAGTGAATATTGATACTCTGTGGTTTGTGA